TTCTCTTTCATTTGATGCAACTCATATGATGCATATTTCACGCATGAGTGATTAAAATGAATTTGAAGAGAGGAAAACAAAAAGTCATTTGGCGGACGGTATCTTAATTTCAAAGAGAAAATCACATTTCTAGAAAGTTGAGTTTCTGCTCTTTTATATGACAACTCAATCAGGAAAAATAAGCAAGGAATGACAAAGTTCTGTATGTTTAAAGTAGTGCTTGCATTTCCATAATTGTATCAAACAAATTCGTTTTCACTGGCTGCCTGCCGTAGCGACAAGCAGAACTGACAAAAGACTAACTCGTTTCGTTGACAATCAGCCATGCATGAAGTCTTTCGTTTACGGCTGATTGTCTTTAGTTAAATCCGTTTGTTGCTACGACAGGCAGCCGGTGAAAACGAATTCGTTTAATGAAATTATGGAAATGCAAGCACTATTTTAAACAAATATTATATGAGTTGGATCAAATGAAGAAGAAGCTTTACAAATATGTATCATTTATCAATTATAATTGTGATTAAGTTATGATAAAACATCGATAATTCTCGGTTTCGTTTTTTCTGGGACGCACTGTACAATGCCTTTGAAAGGTGTACGAAATCAATGTTACATTATACAGAAGTGGCATGCCCTTAAATTGCTGCTTTTGCAAGGAGGTTTCTATTGAAATGGCGAAAGATGTTACATAACCATAGCAGAACAAGGTTTCCGTTTAAACATGACGAGCATGATATCATCAATATAATTATACAAGCACACACTCAAAGACTGAAGAAAAAAACTGGATTAAAAATAAGGAAGACGGAAGGAAAATGAGAGTGTCATAACTTTTTTGTTTTGTTTTTGTTTGTGTTTGTACTTTTTCTTTCTCTCTAATGTCTTTTGTTCTCGTTTGTTTGTGGGTTATTTAAGACTAAGTGTATGATTATTTGTTTGTTTATTTTTTTGTCTGTTTTTAACATAGGTTCCAATTCATGGGTGTTAGATGCTAAAGGTTTATTTTCTCAGGTATATTCAATATGTTAATTTGAAGTGATTACTTAAAATACACTAAACTATAATGATGTGTTTTCTTCTTTTTCATATGAGTTGTACCTTCAATCATACTATTATGTAATTATCAATCTTGTTGAATGTTTCTCGAATATTTATTTGTAACACCTGTGACTGATAGAAATAAAATATCATGTAATTTTTTTCTCGAAAAATCAACCTTCAGCAAGTTCAATAGCCTTGTGAGTGAAGACGGCCTGCTTGCTCATCCGTGACCAACTCTTGTGTCACCTCACAAAATATATCTTAAACCTGACTTTATAATTGTGTCTGCTATTGCCTTAGTCATATTGGTTATGAATTGTGTTGTGAATTTTGTTATAATACTGTATATTATACTTTGTGAGAATTTCAAACCACACTTGTATGTATTATTGCCAATGTAAATTGTTCATACCTGAATTTATTCATGATGTGATTCAGAATTGTATTTAAAATTCTTGCTATGTATAAGTCATATAACTGTCTTGTTATGTTTTGTGCTGAAAGCCGGAGGACCGTACCTCATCATAGACTTTTTCTTTATAGAGTCTTGGCGCCCTTCTGGCTTTCAGCACACGACACCATGTTTTTGTCTTATGTTTTATGTATTACATGTTACACCAATGGATAACAAATGTCTGTATTATATTATGGACAATAAAATCTTGCGAAGTTCAATTATAATAAAACCTTTTCAATCAATCAAATCACGTTATCTGATCATGATTTCTATGAGATATATAATAGGGTATTGAATAGATCGTGTTATATTTTAGATTTGAACTTTTGTGTGAACAGAATCCGTAGCTACTATTCGTGTAAATAAGAAATCCGAGCTTAAAGCCCAACTGCTATACTTATAGCTACTTGCGCCCTCTATATAGCAAATAATGACTAATCGGTGACCATTGATCCCCCTTGATCCTTTTTTTCTTACGTTAATTGAGAGCTTATTTGATGAGATAACCACCTGTCAGTGACCATCAACCAAGGCTCAAAATCGATGACCAGGCAGGGAGGTCTAATCCCTCCTGGCCAAACTAGTGTGGTGTGGATTTAAATCATCATAATTATCGAGTTAACTAAATTGAAACAAATAAAAGATTGAAAAGACGATGTAAACCATTTAGAAGCATCATCTTCTCAACTGTGAAATGCCGAAATACTAATCCCAATCAACACCGTGTCAACCTGCACCATACTGCTCTTGATTCAATGTAATCCGAGAATCTGTATTCAGTTGCGCCACATACGTTTGTTTCATTGTAGTTTGACGACGATGGTTTCGAATCACCGAGAGGGAGTATGCTGCATTATTTCGAAACACATTCAGGGACCTAAATATATGGCAGAAATCATTTTTTTTTCCCCTTCCATTTATCTGTTTGTGACGTCGCACATAGTAAAGGAAATCCAATGGGAATTGTCCATATCTGGTAATCTCAACTTGTAAAAATAAAGACTTTATTTATTTTCACGTATTTATCTCAAACTTTCAACAATTATTTGTTCCTAATCTTTTTATTGCTACTTTCATTCCAGACAAATTTGCGTTAAAAATTTAAGTACCTTTCAACGGCGTTTGCAGAAGTTCTGTAGTGACATGATGTGTAAAAAAATGTATTAAACAAATCTAACTCAATGAAACATAAACAGGCGGAATCTCACAATTACAACCAATTATTTGTACTTTTTAAAAAGAAAAAAAGTAGGCGCCGTCCAAATGTTATACAATTGCGAAAATAACTTAATTGATTATGCATTTGGGGTAGAATGTATGAAAATTACAATCTTAAGAAAACAAAATTAATGACAAATGAAAGATGATTCTTCATATCGAACATTTTTTTTAATGATTATTTCATGACTGAAAAACGCGGTTTATGTAAAATTATCATATTCCTTTCTCAAACTTTCACTGAATCTGTATTTTCCTGTTTGATATGGTTTTATTCAATTCATTAAAATTTACCGTGCGCTACCCTGCTCAAAATGAGCTGATGGTGAAATGATCACGAAATAAACGCTAACTCAAATCAATTATTAAACAGTTTGATTTTCCCCTTCCCATGTCAGGTAAAGCTATATATGTTAATGCTGTGAATTTCTATATATTTTATGGATACAAGATTAGATTAGATTATTATTATCATTTTAACAAGGAGTAAAACAAAAACAATGGACGATCTAGTCCAGAAATACAGTTTCCCATTTGTTTTATGTCGATATACGAAAAGAATTCGATAATCTTGAAGAGTGGAAATATATATATTTTCCCCAAAAGTATATAAGAATATATATATTGGCTTCTCTTTTTCGCTCTTAACCCCTTCTCAACATTTGTCCTTTTCTAAGTAATTCCCCTGTTCCCCGTAGCTACCCACTGATGTATCCATTTTTACTCCTGTATCTTTTCCGTGTATTTTGTTCTCCACAGTATACTGTAATTTCTACATGTTTTATCCGACTTTGCCTTCTCAAAGATGATAAATCATATACATAATATACATAATCAATATTTACTGATATTTCTGATCATGGAATTCGACTTTGTAGGCCAAATTGCACATTCTGAATCCGTAAACATACATATTTGCACCTTTTAAGCAATGGTTTACGAGGCACAGAACTGGGACCTCAACCGGCAGCCCCCAGTAGGGAGAATTATGAACTGTCACTATTTCGTTAGCTGTCACCTTGATATTTGGGCAGTGCAGTGGTTTATTCGTAGTTCTTATATATATCTTACCTAAGTGCTTTTTGTCCCAAAAAAATTCACTAAAATAAAATTAATGATTGTGGGAAATTGATATTCAGGAAAGCAACATCAGTCACCGGTGTCAGTACGTCCATGATCATGATGTTTAGTCTTTTACCCTTCTTATCCAAGGGGGGGGGGGGGCAAGTTTGCACCCTTTGAAGTTCAAATTGGCCACTATTTTAGGGATACTGCTCTTGTATCGTCTCAGAATGCAATTTTTGAAGCTCGAAAGTGTCGTTGAAAACCTACTTATTGTGAGCAAAGGATGAGTAAAGTATAAATGCGATCATGAGATCGAGAATTGTGAGTTTATAACCATACTTCCGGAAATAAAAATAACAGATACAATCGTTCATCTACCAATAACAAACTTTTGAGGAAAATGGAGGTACATAGAAAAGTTTATTGCCATGTTATATTTGTCACCAATAATAGTGTTATGCTCTATATTTTCAAATACACCAGCAACTATTTCCGAACTTGGCACGAATAGGAGGTTCATACATGTACATAAATCTTCCCATGTTTTCGGCAATAAATTTGTTTTGGTCTAAACAAACTGCTAGGCCAGTACCAATCTCCGTTCTGTACTTTATTTCTCAGTCACGAGGTCACGGAAAGGAATTTGACAGCCGTCAAAACAATAGAGTCTGCGTCCTTAGTTGACCGTAAGCTTGCCAAAAAATGTGACATTTGTCCCCAAGGACCTTTATCACTATGGCAACGGCTAACTCGATTAGCTTCCGTTTGTATAATCGTCTGGGAATTCTTTGATTCTATCCAGCTTGCTAAACGGGAAGAGAGAGCGTTTGAGCAATGTGATATGAGCCAGATATCACTGAGAGTGTCTTAGCTTGGCTTATATAGCGAGAGGTGTGAGGGGCCTATAATCAACGGTCAGTTTAGTCGTTCACTCGCCATTGTGTTGGACAACCCTTTTCACACATTCACGACTCACCGCAGTGGTTGAATAGACAGACGACTTTCATTCTGTCTCCGCTTTGATTGAATTGAATTCATCGCCGTCATTTTTTGTATGTTTGCTATAGGAGTACATCACCCATACAAGGGGACTACCTTCTGTCTGCACTGCTTGCTCGGGACTGTGTGTCGCTGTAACCAAACATTACGTCCGAAACCTCCCAAGGCTTCCTAAATCGCGCTCGTATTTTTTTAATCTTCATAAATTATGTTCGCCCGTATGTCTGCTGGCGCTGGCGCGCTGACGGGGCTGTGCGCTGCCACGGTGGGTATAGTACAGCACCAGCGGCGCGGTACGGACCAGACGAGCGAGTCTTCCTCCCCTCAACACTCGAAAGCCAATCCGCATTCGCCGCCTCGTAGTTCGGGAGACAAGACTCGTGGAAGTGGTATCTCGGCGGCTCCATCGGGCGAAGGGAAGGAGACATCGGGAGGCCCAGCCATGGACTTCAACGAATACGCCGACGACGTCGCCAATAGGGCATTGGACCTATACAACGACAATGACTGGAAAGTGGCTCGGTCAGCAGTAAGTTCAATCTTTATCATTTTGAAGCTTCTTTGGTGTTAACATTCAATAATGTTTACTGATAACTTTCCTTGATGTTAAAACGTTTATTCAATCCTTGACCATAATTGTTTTTATGTCAAAATTTATCAAATTGACCAAGCGTGAAAATAAGTTTCAGAGGATCGCTATATTATGTTAGGCAGCGTTGGTACTCGAGTGATAACCAAGGAGATGGGAGACACCACTCCTTGCGATATCTTCGTATATTATCTTGATACTCTGTTCAGGTTTAGGAGAAAGATGAGGGGTTCTAGTTGATGGAACATTTAGTGAGCCCGCGAGCATGAACGTTGGTGGTGGTGGTGGTGGTGGTGGTGATGACGATGATGATGAGGATGATGCTGGTGATAATAATGCATGCTGTCATATTACATGTATGTTATTTACCAGGGCGATCAAGATTATGTCGAGATGATAGTTAAAGTGATGATCATGACTTTTGAGTGTTTATGGAGCAATTATTTTCGGATGACAATTATGGTAGTCAGGGTCAAGACTCTGTAGGGACCTTAAAGTTGTCGATGTCGGGGATATGTGTCTTCATCAGAAGCATAATCTTGGTAGCGGTGTTGTTGGTATTTATTGGTGATGGTCTTACTCGAGTGATGTTAAAAGCGATGGTTTTACTTTAGTGATGGTGGTGATGATGGTAGTGACGGTGGTGGTGTTGATAGCGATAGTGGTGATGATAGTGATGACAGTGATGATAGGGACGATATTGATAGTGGTATTGATGATGGTGGAGATGGTGGTGGCTCATGGTGATGGGATGGTGACGACAGTAGCAAAGGAGGTGGTGGCATCAGTGATGCCATAACAATGTTACAGTGGTAGTTATGTGATGATGGCAGTGGTGGAATTGCGGTGTTAGTGATGATAGTGATCAAATCATTACAGTGGTGATGGGATTGTGGTTGTAGTGATGAGAGTGATAGTGGAACTCATGATAGTGGTCAAATGACTTGTAAAGATGATGATGGTGGGATAGTGGTGTGATGGTGTTGGTTGTGATGATAGTGGTGACAGGGTGGCGGTGGTAGCGGTTTGATCATGGTTCGATGGTGGTGTACAGGGTGTAAGTGATAGTGGTGATGTTTGCAGTGATGATAGGTAGTAAAAAAAAAACATTTTGGGAATTTGGCTACAAGCCGTACAGTAGGCTTATTTGCTTTTAAAGAAATTGTAGCTTATAGTTTTCCTAATGATATAATAATTCGTGTGTTGAATATCTCCGCTGATTAGCTTGGTTAGTAAGTCCATGGTTTAATCATATCATATAGCTGCAATTATTCCAGGACAGAATGAATAAATCCCGAGTAGCAGCTGTGCGGATCACTTTGGCAAAATAAATGAGGGATGAAACAAATATCAATTAATTTCATTTTCACCAATCTTCGAGTAGGAGTAGGACTATATTGAAATATATTCTTAACCATGTACTCTTGGTGTATACATGTTAACAGAATGGTCATTGATCTGCTTTGTCCTGTGGGAAGGGGGTGGTGTTGTGCGCTTTTCTTCTTCTTCGCGCGGTTGATTAAGCCAACGATGAGCGGTAAACCCCTTATTGCTTGGAGGCATGTCATGTTATCGTCGTTCAAATGATCCTCAACTCGCATGTGAATGCGGCGTTAATTTGCTGATGAACAGGCGTGAATCATACCCAAATATCACCAATTCGTAGTCTACCATCCAAACAGTATCATTTCCTTAGGATTCCCACTTATAAACCGATTTCATTCTAAAGGATGCCATTAATTCGTGTCTGTATATATTTTGCGTCATTCTGTTTTGCCTCACTAAAAATTTGTGCTGCATTACGCAAATTATTAGCATAACAAATAAAACGATAGATTTAATCATTAGTGTTAGGTGCACTTTCGTTATGTTATTGTAACTATTTTCAAAATGTATAGAGGTCGTATTCGTTTTTAGCTATACTCCCCTGATACTCCCAAGTGTGTTTGATAGAAAACAAGAAGGGGACTGAAAAGTCTAGAAGAGAAAATTATATTGTAGGCAGTGACATAGCCTATTCCAGAGAAGGAAATATTGAAGGGGCATTTTAGGAACAGAGTGTTCGAGTCTACAAGTCAGATGTTAGATATTTAAGGGGAGCTCCACCCTGATATTTAGTAGGTTTTATTCAAAGAAGACAAATGAGAGGAACAGGTCAGTGAAAGTTTTGAGCAAATTCGGATTAAAAACGAAAAAGTTATGAAATTTTGAAGTTGCGATCAATACAAATTGGCAAATCTGTGACTTATCTTGCGAGCTTTCCTCCCGTTTTTTGAACTAAAAGAAAAACAGAAGTTTCAATTTTCCCTCAAGAACATTTTCATTCATAATTATATACATCCTATATATATATATATATATATATATATATAACTATTGCAAATTTCTCTTCAACCCCAGTGTGGAGAAGAAAAATATCAATTCTTTAATCAATAACAAAAGAAAATGAAAGTTTATGGAATTTATGTACAGAGCAAATAGGAGAGGCGTTCGCAAGATACGTCACAGTTTTGTCAATTCGTGTTTGATTGATCGCAACTTCAAAAATTCATAACTCTTATTTGTACACCCTTGTTATATAGAGCCAATGTAACATATAATACATACCAAAATGTGGTTATTGTGCCCCTTTTTAGTATAAGACGCAAGAGGGACTTAAAATGAGATAACCACTTCTTTCCTTTGCTTTCTTTTCTATATTTTCTTTTTGATTGATTTGTTTCCATTACTTTCTGGAATTGTGCCCCTACCCTTTTACCCAATCCCGTTTGTGAATCCTCTCAACTCACTTTGAAAGAGATCGTAGTTAAGAAGATAGGCCTGATAATCCTCCTGACATCATAATGATTTGGTGATTGCGTGTGAATGTGACATGTCTTTGTATAGCAAATCGTGTGTGTCTCGTATTAAAGGTGCTTATCCTGATTAATTAACATAATGACACGTGACGGCTTTTATACGCAAACTGAAAGTAACAGTGTAGGCCTACTAATTGAAAAGAAAGGATTGTGCACGGATTTAATATGGTATTTGTAACCGGGCCAAAGAGATTTTCATGGATTTTAAGGAAATATGTATATGTCTTACTTCCCAGTTTAGCTCTGTGTAGAACATGTTTCCGCTCGTTTTCCACCCTTTCGACCCCCCCCCCTTTTTCTCTCCTTCACTCACACACACATATACTCGCCCCCACCAGACATACAAACACTTAGATCTTTTCCCCTCTCTCCCTCTCCCTCTGTCTATCTACAACTCTATCTCTCTACCTCTCTTTTCAATATTTGTTCTTTATTGTATGTGTGTGTGTGTGTGTGGAAGGGGGGGGGGGGGTCATCAGTAGAGCTAACATTCAACATGGATTCACTGAGAAGGGAAAGTCATTCCGTCTTGGAGCCAGTCTACCGTCGATAGTGTTTTAACTACTCCGTTCATTAATGACATCTTAATCAAGCATGGCGGTTATCTAATTAAATTGGTCTAGTAAATCCATGGGGAAATGATCAGTTTTTCTTCTTCTTCTTCTTCTTTTCATGGAATACCCTGGGTCCCTGTCATGCCTTTGTGTCTGGGAATGTCGTTGGTTAGGTCTACGATGTATTCGAAAGTTTCGAGTTGATTCTTGACAGAAGATGATGATGGATGGTGGAAGAAAATTAGGTAGAATGTAAGACAGAGAGAGAGAGATAGAGATAGATAGCTAGATAGAGAGGAAGAGAGAACGAGAGAGGAAGAGAGAGAGAGAGAGAGAGGAGAGAGGGGGGGGGGACGGGGACGGGGAGCACAATCTATACAGAAACAATATTTTAGGGTTTACTTTGAATTTTAGCTTTCTTGGTGTCATCCAATCATGTACATGTAGGCTTAGGAAAAAGGTCTCCCTCCGAAAAATTTATAGAGAGAGAGAGAGAGAGAGGGGAGGGGGGGGGGGGGGAAGAGTTTTTTTTTCCCCACTTCATATCATACATGTATTTTCGAGACTTCGCAAGTTACAGTCATTGTTGTCTTATCTCATACAAGTTACGGGGAAAATATATTTTGGATGACGTGTTAGTTTGTACGGTGACATGAAAAGCCTAAACACGGCATTCTTCTTGATTTGGGATTGTTCAATAGCGTGGCTGAATAACGACCGTTCTTTAGATGTACGAACTTCACTGAGATGGTGTAACCATGGTGTAACTATAGCTTGCAACAGCCCATGTTGTCTTACCATTTGCAAGTGAAGGGAGGATAATATTGGGGATGACGTGTGGCTTTGTGCAGAAGCATGAAGAGCCTAAACATGGCATTTTTCTCTCTCAAGTCTCAGTCTCAGTCTCAGGGTCTGAGTTTGTTCATGGGCATGACTGTCGTCTGGCCATCTCTCATCGCATGACGTGGTGGGATTGAAGGTCGTCACCAACCATCGCATTGGATTCCTCTAAACATCCAGAGAGAATGAGAGATGGGATGCGGAGGAGGAGGAGGAAGAGGAGGAGGAAGAGGAGGAGGAAGAGGAGGAGGAAGAAGAAAGTGAAAGTTGTAGAGAAAAGAGTGATATGTAAATGGAGAGGTTATTTCTTATCATATACAGGGATGAGAGAAAGAGAGATGAAAGGAAGAGGGATACGTGGATAGTAAGTGAGAGAATGCCAGGTGGGGTGTGAAGGAGGAGGAGGAAGAGGAGGAGGAAAAAGAGAGTGAAAGTGATAGAGAGAAAGAGTGATAGATATATGGAGAGGTTATTTCTTATTATATACAAGGATGAGAGAGAGAGAGATGGAAGGAAGAGGGATACGTGGATAGTAAGTGAGAGAATGCCAGGTGGGGTGTGAAGGAGGAGGAGGAAGAGGAGGAAAAAGAGAGTGAAAGTTGTAGAGAAAGAGTGATAGGTATATGGAGAGATTATTTCTTATTATATACAGGGAGAGATAGAGAGAGATGGAAGGAGGAGGGATACG